CCCAGTCACGCTTCAAAAATTCACCTTTCCCCATGCGACGCCGAACATCTCCCTAGCACACGTCCCGATGAGGGTGCGCAAGTCATTCATCCTTTCATCACAAGAGGCCCCTTCTGAGTTATCCTGTCCTACCCCCTTTACACACTGTAGCAGCCGGTACACAGTACAGCGCTATAAATACGCGCAGAGCGTGACCACCAGCAACTCGAGAGACCTCTTCAGCGGTCAGCTGCTACACACACACACAGACACACGCACACACACAAGCACCCTCTCTCTTCCCAACGCATCCACCCACCTTGTCCACAGCCACCCCTCGCCCCTTCTCCCCCCCAAGCACACACACACACACACACACATACACACACACACACACACACACACACACACACACACACACACACACACACACACACACACACACACAGGTACATCAGCGTCTGCTCATGTACCTGTAACACGGCTCGTCCCACAGGCTGCCGTACCCCGCCTCTCGCAGTATATGCAGCATAGCAGGGTGGCATATTCCGGGATGGCGGAGAATGAGTCGGCCAGCAGGTTGGTGCAGTGGTTGATAAAGTGGTTGGGGTGGTTGCCTTGGCAGCCTTGGGGACCGTTACGGTGGTGGTTGGGTCGGTTGTCCGACATAGACGATTCAGAGTCGCTCGGCGATACTGGTGGACCTGGTGGTACTGGTGCTGGTGGTGGCAGAGTCGCTGCTGCAAATAAAGAAATCGCAGTAAGCAGCTGTAGTGGCGACCCTAACAGGTCTTGATCCCGGAAGCTCGGATCACAAGGTTGAGGGACATTGGGGCGTGCTCTGGGACAGCTGGTGTGCACAGCACCACCTTGGTGGTACTGGTGCTGGTGGTTGCCAGCTGTGTGGCTCATCCCAGCTGGTCCTGAAGGTGTCTGAAGTAGCGGCAATGGCAGCAGTGGTAGTCAGACATCACACCAGAAGCTCATGGTCGTGTCCCAACCTAAAGGATATAAGGACCTGGTGCAATCGCTGGGGGAGGGTGGTCTCCCTGTGAGTGAGGCCACCCAGGGTGCACCCCCTCCTCACGGTCGCCCATCCAATTCTGGGGTATCCTCCTCAGGTGGCCCCGGTACTGCCACAACGGCGTATGGTAGCACCGGGGGACGAAGGTCGTCATCATTGTCGTCGTCACCATCACGATGGGCTGCTGCCCTAGCCGCCTTCCGGCACTATTCAACGCTTCTTCTCCTTTTCGGGACACCCGTTCCCGCGGTGCATTTGACAGTACCGCACTGAAATTCGCCGCCACAGGCCGCCCATTGCCAGCGGATATAAGATATCATCGAGGAGTTGGAACAGTGCGACGAGAAGATTTCGGACTAAAATGTCGTAAGCACGGCAATACAACCTCCCTCTCGCTTTTGTTATACCTACCATATTACAGCAGCAGCCAGTGCATCCAACTGCCATCGAAAATCGCCACGGTCGTCCAACTTCCTTCCCCAACACACATGCCTACATACATACATGTCTGAGTGATGAAATGGGAGTGATGAAATGGGAGGTGGCCCCCCATCATATGGACGATGTAGGACGTGATAAAATCAACTTGCGAGCTGACCAGGAACTAAGTTGATGCGCCGTTGATCCGCTAGATTTGGTTGGATGCTGGTGGTGAGTTGCCGAACCCAACGAATACATTCTGAAGTCGGATGGGGTGACGGATTAGGGTGCCCCTCTAGCAGGGGAGAGCAGGGACTGCCCCGGAAAGGGGCCGCTGGCGAAGTTAACCACCCTGTAACAACATATACATGTCTACATGCCTACATACATGCCTACATGCACGCGTGGTCACAAACACGGGGGAGGAGAACTTCGTTTCTCAGCCACCGCAAAGGGCACCACAACCACCAACTCCAGTGGCTTCTTCACGTGCTGCTCCTCTTGCTGCTGCTGCTGCTGCTGCTGCTGCTGCTGCTTCTGCTGCTCTTTCCACAAAAGAGTCGGATCAGCTTCTGTCTCCGTAAATGGCTTCAGCTGATCCACCGCCACCACCGCAGCCTCCAACTCCACCCGCACCTTTCGCAGATACACACCGTAATGCTGTACGGCGAATAACAGAAAACATCCAAAAATGAGCATAAAATCAAACACGTAAAAATACTCTTCATTGCTCGCCAAGGTACCATGATAACCATCACTAAACTCTGCCACACGGAAAATGTTCCTGCCATACATTAGAGCAATTGTGCAGTACAGCGTCCAAAATACATGCCGTGCTGGCTTCAACGTTCCCAACCCGAACCGCGGGCTGCGCTGTACATACGCACACAGACATGTGAAGCATGTGAAGAACACCAACTGCGCCGCCAGACCTGCGAGCATGAGCTTACGGCCGAAGAGCGACGTGCCGGGGTCCTTGCTCGCCAACATGGCGCCCGCAGAGCCTTGCACAGTTAAACACAACACGTCTGACAGCGCGAAGAGCCGAGACTGCCACCGCATAAGTCGGGACTCCCGACCCGCCTTGGTCATGCCGGTCATCTTGCCCAGGCAGATGTACTCCACAATGGCCAGCAGCACGGGGCTAATAATCAGGAAGCACTGCATCAGCACGTAGCCGATGTAAGTGGGGGACTGCACCATCATCACGCGGGACAGAAAGCCCGCAGCCTCGAGTAACCCGGTCAGCACAACCGTCAACCTGTGTGTCATGACATGGGCAGGTTGGTACGGGGAGCCGTGTGAAGGGGGAGGAGGGGAACGAGGTGGTAGTGTAGCTGGGTGATGTACGACACCCAAACGCGACTGCACTCGGGGGCGTCAGTTCATTCGTGGGTGTGGTGGTGTGTGGGATTAGCGTCCCGCGGAAGGCGGGTGCACGAAATGTCGGGTCGCAGGGTTGTGCAGGTTGTGGCGCGAAAGACAGTATCAAGGCAGTCTGTGTTATGCCCAACGAATGCGGACAGTCAGGTTTTCTTGCAGGTCCATCAAGGCATCGAAGCCTTGATGGGGCCTTGAGGTGCCCAACAAGGCATTTGAAAGGTCGACGGTCTCCCAGGCCGTCCTAAGACCGGTTGGTGGCCGTACATGAGAAGTAGTGGCCGGACAGGCACTGTTGTGTAACTTACATGAACCACGATCTTGTCTTGCAGGTGATGGCAAAGACCACGATGCTGATCACCAGGTAGAGAATCAGCGCAGCGATGGCGGCACTCTTTCTTGGTATTTCCCCAAAAAACTGGATGATTATGTCATGGTCCGTTTCGGCAGGCATGCTTGCTGTTGTGGGGTCGTCCTCGGTCAATGAGTTCGCAGTCAAGTGTTACGTGTCAACCACCATCACGCATCACCTGTAAAGCAGTGCCTGGTGCAGTTTCTAAGCCAAAATCGACGAAACTATCGACTCCTAACTTGCGCAACGCTGGTTTCACGGAAATGCAACGTGAGAGCAACATCCCAGCGGAAGAATTGTCAGACACGTTTTCACATCTGCACAACACGCTAGAATGTGTTCATGACCGCAGTAGAAACATACCTGGAAAATTTGATATCGGATATGATAGCAAGGTGCAGGTGTCCCCAGGTGCCGAGATGCATTTACTAATAGCGAACGCAACGAGGGTCCCAACTGCGATCGAGGACTCAATTTCCACCTGTATAAATTAGAATCTGCTCTGAAAATACTTTTGCAATCTCAGAGGGAAAAATTCAGGAGAAGACGTGGCCGGAGAACACAGGTGCAATATAATATGAAGAGTCGTTCAACCAAGTCATTGACAATTTATATGCGTCTTCTGAAAAACGCGTTGCATGCGGTCGCGCGGCGCTACACTTAAAGTATTCTTCGCGGTGCTTGGTTTTGCGCAGAGGTGTATCACGGAACATATTTATACAATCAATAGTAATTTAAATAGTAATTTAAGGAAATGCAATTTTGTCATAGTACGGTGCTGCCCATGCCCATAGAGCGTAATTAATGTCATTTCTTACTTAGGGTGACGTCCCTTCTTCCAATCCTATGGAGCTTCTCTAAGCGCACTAAGAGCTAAGTCGTATCATTTTTTTGTATCAGCTTGTAATCTGTTTGAGCAACATTAATGCGTCCGTTCATTGCCGTTAACTGCGTGCCGGTAATCCATCAGGTCTCCAGGCGTGTCCATGATACAATAACAAACCTCGAAAATTCTATAATTGACTGAACACTTTCGGTGGATGTGCATGGAGACGGTGAAGCACTATCGGTGTACTCGATAATGCTGTTGACCGTGCCCGCGTATCGTACATTTTGGCTTTTCACACATCTGTGGCTAAGACGGATGGTGCTTATTCTGGGTAAACTGAGTAAACTGAGAGTTCAACAGAGGAGGCGAAGCTAGCGAGCTCACACGATGTGTCTACATACGGTACATGATTAGGAAGATACACTTTCCCATTTACGCCTGCGCTTGAAGCAGTTCTTATTACAGCATTACTCATCCCTGTCTCTGCGTTGCCGCTGACAGGACCCGCAGCGCAATTCATTAGCAGAGAGACTGTGAGGAAGAATGAGAGAAATGTGGAAGAGGCCCCATTAGAAACACAAGCCTGAGCACATCCAGACAATTCCTGCTGCCTCTGACCGGAGCAGCGCCCTGTGGTCCTTCCGCCTCCTCCCCTCCTCTTCATTAGCATGCGCCCAAGCCCCCAACCCGGCAGCTCACCCCCTTGCCAATGAGCACCCGCATGCCTGGTGGCATACACACATGGCCAGATATCGCCACATCTACACCTACATCCACAGCGATGTCGCATGCGAGTACTGATGCACCAATTTACTCACGCATGCCTTACCACCCTCACCCACCGCAGTCTGAACGCGGAATGAGGATATGGGCATGATATGGTACATCGACATTGACATTGACATTGACGTCCACACGACCTCAGCACTGCAACGGAACGGGGAGCACGGCAGCCAGGTTGGACCAGATCGGACGAGCAAGCATACAACGGCTACCAAACTCAATTGCTGCTGCACCCTTCGTACTCCACCACGGTTGCTAGCCACACAGGGTGCGGCTAAGCAAACACACACACACACACACACACACACACACACACACACACACACACACACACACACACACACACACACATCTCCCCCCCACACACAGAGTCAAGGATACGGCCAAGATCATGTGGGTGGGAGGAAAAGGAAAAGACGGAAGGAAGCGCGCGGCAGTAGCACGCGGATAGAGCTAGCTTGTGCTTCCGACGGCCCGCAGTCGACGAGCACCTACATACATACATATATATACGCTACACATCTACTCAACACTCCGAAGTGACGCAAGGAGTCCCCCGGGGGGTCGCTCAGTTCCCAGCGACCGTTCCATCCGTGAATCCACACCACTCTCTCCACCATGAGGGTGACTGCGGCTGTGTACGTCTGTACGTCTGTACCCCGCGTCTTGCACCACCAGGCACCACCTGCTGGACTCCAGACCCACAACCTCCGGTGCGCCTTCTCAGACAGGAAGACCCGGGACCGGGAACCAGGTGACCCCAGCGACCTCACGGCGGCACATGGCGACACATGGCGACAGCAAAGCTAAGCGCACACAAGCAAAGAGAGCGAGTGAGCGGGTGTCCCGCCTTAAAGTGCCTATCTCCCCCTTCCTCCCTCTCCCCCTCCTCCCTTTCCCTGTTCCTCTCTCTAGCCGTCGTTGCCACCCCTAGAGGCCCTTCAGCCGTCCCCTAGACTCGCATCATCCAGCTCAAACAAGAATTTTGAAAGAAACGCTCGCAAACAAATCCTGCTTCTGATAATCATGATATTGTTGCTGCTGCTACTGCGATATGCTCTCTCCCTCTTCTTTCCCTCCCTCGAAGGCAAACTCCCGCCACACCTCCCCTCCCCCCCAAAACCATTTGATAGCCCCATGGAAGATATGTTTAAACCATCCTCTCGAAGGACTGGAGAATAGCAAATTAGGTTTGGTTGTGGCAGGGACAAAAGGCTCAGTAATGATGGCAAGAGTCAGAAGCGTCATTGCTTACCGAAGAACAAGTGTGCTCGAATCACTAAAACTGCTCATCAAGGGTTCCAGCCGGTAATAGAGCTGATGATAGACAACACCACCAGACACTCCCGGGAGTCCAGGACTCGGCGGCACAGCCCATGTATAATCACCTCCTCCTCCTCCTCCTCCTACTACTACTACTACTACTACTACTACCGTCGCCACCAGCACCACTGCTTCAACCCCACTCACCCATCTACAACCCCGCGTTTGCCGTCCATCCCCTCCCTATCCTCCGGGCCCCCCGCCCTCCTCTCAGCCGCCCCCATCCTCCACGGCCCTCATGCTCTCCTCTCCCAGCAGCGCCAGGAACAGCAGCTCCTCGTAACTGAGGGCCGTCTGAGGGGTGGGCAGTAAACACCAGCCCACTTCCCGAACCCCGGCCTCACCACCATCCCCACCAGCCGGCTCAGTTCCCGTACGACCAGCAGGACCAGCACCACCAGCGCGCCCCGCAGTACCACTCGATGCTGCCGCAGTCCTATGGCCCTCGCCCTCTTCCTCCTTCCCCGCCACAGCAGCGGCACCAGCAGCAGCTGCTGCAGGTGGTAGCTGCAGTTGTGGCGGTGGCAGGCTGGTAGTTGCAATCCTCCTGCCAGCCGGCTGCAGCCCCCGAGCCCAGCAGTGCGCCTGATCCAGCGCCGCCATGAGGTCCAGGGTGGGCGGCTGGAGCTGAGCCAGCCAGGGGGGAGGGGGCTCGGTACCGGCTGCGCATGGGAGGGAGCGGAGGGAGACCCCGGGGTGCGGGTGTGTGTGTGGGGGGGGGGAAATGGAAGGACCACGGTGGGTAGAGATCGCCGCCGGGGAGGGAAGGGGCTACGAGGGGGGAAAGAAGGAATACTCGGGAGTGGATGGGCGCTCCGGATGGCTCCAGATGGAGAGAGGGTCGGCGGTTACAGACTGACGCGCAACCAGCACCACCACAACCACCTAAATGTGGCGTTCCCTGCCCCCCCCCCCCCGTCCACTGCCCACCCACCTGCCAAATGGTGTCCAGCCATCTGCCCCTCAGCGACCTGGCGTTCCGGCTCCGCCTCCTCCACCCCCCGGGGCACCACCTGCCGCTTCGCCGCCTTCCCCCGGGCCCCGAGCAGCGCCAGCGAGCCGCCCTCCCCTAGCGGGGGGACCTCCGCGAGGCCGCCCCCCATCAGGTTGCTGTAGTGGTGTGCGGAGCGGGGTAGTCCGGTGGGCAGCAGGTGCCGCCGGGGCAGTAGGCCGCTGCTCAGGGCCAGGGGCTCCCCGCCCCGGTCCGCCCGGTGGTGGGTACTGGAGTTCAGCCCCTCCCCTCTATCCACCACCGCCGTGGGGGTGGGGGTAGCCCCACCCGCCGCCGCATCATCATGATTACGATCGTGATCGCTATCGACAGCTGCTGGGTGAGGTGCTGGCTCTGGGGGAAGCCTCCGGGGGTGAGTCCCGCGTGGCGGGGGCCGCTGCTGACCTGGATGTCCCGGATGCTGCTGCTGGTGGTCTTGGTGGTGGTGGTGGTGGTGGTGGGGGAGGGGGGTTGCGTACAGCGGTGGGGCACACAGGCGACGGAGGGGGCAAGCCAGGCGGCTGACGTGGCCGAGGGCCCCACACCACCAGCAGATAGGGGAGTGCACTTGGAAGGCGTCAGAGAGGGGCACCAGGCCCAGTCCTGTGGCAGGGTGAGGTGAGGTGAGGGTGAGGGGTGTTGTAGTTCTGCTGTGTACCACGTCATAGATCTCTGCGCCGACCAAACACGGATAGAAACACGCACACCATCACGATAGACATACACACAAACACACACAAACACACACACGGAAAACATACACACACAAGCACACACACACGCACGCACGCAGCGGCCCTCCCTATTGCAAGCCCCCTAAGCCAACCCCCCCAACCCCACCCCACACCACCATCACCAGGCACGCCCACCTGCCGCCTTTACCACCGCGGCCGTGTGCACGTGATCCCTCAACCTGTCCGCAAGCAGCTGCCGGACCTTCACATTGGTGTGCTGCTTATGCGGCCCGGACAGACCCACCCAGCCAGGCAGACGACGGCCCCTCGCACCCGCCGCCACGGGCGCAGCGAGGGTGTGCAGCTGCCCCTCAGTTTCCCACACAAAGTCCCGCAGCGGGAGGGCCTTCACCGGGTCATGCAGCACCGCCAGGCGGGGGATGCGCGGCCAGCAGCGGGCGTTCAGGACGGACTCGCTGATGTTGGCTTCCACCGCGCGGGCGTGCCAAGCTATCATGGGCTGCACTCGTTCAGACCCGTATTGAGCCGCGGACGGTGGTTGGCGGTTGTGGCGGTTGCAGCAGGGGAATAATAGGGTAAACAAAGGCGTGGTGTTAAGAGGGTGGGGGGAGGTGTGCCGCAGCCACCCTCATGCAAAGTAAATTTATCATAAGGCCCGCCACCACAGAATCAGGAACATTTGCAGCTGCAGTGGTAGGGGGGTGGGGTGGACAGAGGATGTCTTCCCAAGCAAAAGGCTGGAAACGTAAGACAAGTAGAAATACACAAGCGTTGGGGAACACTTTGCATGACCTCTCTCTCTCTCTCTCTCCCCCTCTCTATACCGCTTGTTTTAGTTCGGCTTTTCCACATTCCCGCAATTCATACAACAATCAACAGGGGCGGTTTCGAAGCATATCGTACCATGACGTACCAGCCAGTAGGGGAGGCCGTCCTTCATCAAAAACTTCTCCCCGTCCAGCACCAGGCCGTCCTTTGTGATGTGGCGAGCGTCCTTGGTGCCGGGGGCGGCCACCACCTCCCCGTCGGGCGCCCCGATGTAGTACACCTCGGCGGGTGTCTTCCGCTCCCGTCCCCCCCCTTGCTGCTGCTGCTGCTGCTGTTTCCCCTTCTTTCTCCGCCGCTGCCGCTGCCGCTGCCGCGTGTCTAGCAGGCGCTCCTGCAGCGGCATGTCGTCGACATCTACACCTTGATGATCAGCACGACCGTCGTCCCGCGCTACCGCCTCCCCCTCCCCCTCCCCCTCCTCCCTCTCCTCCACATCTGCTCCCTGCCGCCTCCCCGCCCGCCTTCCCATTCTAGTTGCTGCTGTTGCTGCTGCGTCCTCCATCTCCACCTCCACCACGTCATCCTCCTCCTCCTCCGCCGCCGCCGCCGCTTCCTCCCCCTCACAGCCGTCGCCACGCAACCGCTTGCGACCGCGAATGACAGCTTCTCCACTGCCGCCAGGCGCCGCCCTTGCCACCCTCGTCCCCGCCGCCCTTGCCGCAGCTGTGTATGTCGCCTCCGGATCCCAGCCCAGTGCGCTTCGCAGGGCGTCCTTAACTCCAAACCCTCGATCGGAGTGGAGAGTGACCTCGTGAACGACCAGCCCTGTGAGCGGCCGCAAGCACGGCTCCCCGGCTAGCGGGTCGCGGCAGGCGGCACAGACGCCGCAGCCGAACCGCACTCGTACTACGTTATTGTCTTCCGCGGGGGGCGTGTCTCCGGAGCAGGTGGACGAGCCGCCAACAGGAACAGGGGGTGTCAGGGAGTGGCGTATGGCACCCAGACGCGACCGGAGGTCCGAGCCTGTGCGCGTGTACGGGTTTGGGGGGTTAACAGTAGAAGATGGAGTTGCAGGAAAAGGGGAAAATGGGGGGGGAGAATAAACTGGTGTGTGAACAAACCCCGCCGAAGCTCGTGGTTTAGGGTTTAGGGGGCTTGAGCAGCCCGCTCAGCCGCCACCACCCGGCAGTGGCCGTCCCGGGGTGACTCCAATGTTGTCGCAACCCCCACCGCTCCTCTAACGGCCGCACCTCTCGCAGGTAGCATCATGTCAAGGTTGTTGCGAGCCATCGCCCCCAAACCCAGATTGAGGGGCGTTCCAAACGGTCCCCGCAGCGCCAGCAATGCCATGTCAACAGCCTCAGCAGCCGCCTCAGGTGTACGACACAGCCGCAGAGGCGGACCTGCAGGCAGTCCCCAATCGCCGCTGGAGGGGCCACCGCTATCCCCGCCACTGGTCCTGGTCCTGGTGGTGATAGTGGTGGCGGCGGTGGTGGCGGCGGCGGCGGCTGCAGCGGGCGGTGGGGCGGTCATGGCAGCGGCAGCCGGCAGGCATGCGGCCCACAGCGGCGCGCTGATCATCACCACCTGCTGGTGCTGCTGGTGCTGCCCGATCGAGTTTTGTACGGCGGGCTCTCGGAGCAGCAACATACCCACCGGGAAAGCCCTGCGAGCCGCACGCGCTGTGTCGTACAGCAGCTGCAACTCGCAAGCCAAATTGACCTGTAAGCAACATCAACCAAGCACCCAGGCGGCATTCAACAGGCATTCAGGAGGGTGTGCCGACAGCAGATGCCCTTGATACCGCGGTAAGTGGATACCGGTAAGTGGATACCGGTCGGGAGAACTGGTGGTAGTACAAACCACCACGTAAGGACGCAGCGAACCTAGGAGCTCCTCCCTGGACAACCCACTCCTTACACACAAAGCAAAACACGTAACAGTGCAACATGATGGAGCGGCGCCGTGTGGACGACCTTACCAACGCAACGCCGTGCTCACTCCGATTCACACACACACACACACACACAGTGCCGCAAGAATCTAAACCCCTGAGCCTGTGCCTGCGTGTTGTACGTCCGGTAGGATATGCCTTCCCTGGACTACCAGGCCAGTAGTGCGGTTGCATGCTCACGGGCATGTGCGTACCTGGCGCAGGTGTGAGCGCCGCAACAGCCGCTCCTCCGCCTTCAGCCAACCGCCAGGCTCGTACCGCAACTTCTTCGGCACTGGCGCCAGCTGCCCAGCAGCGCTCCCGACGGCATCATGATCATGATGATAGTATTGCGCTGTAAATGAAGAAATCGGGTAGTGGGAGCGTGTGGTGTGTTGCGCCGCCAGGCCGGGCGACCCGCAGGCCGCTGCCCGCTCTGCGGCGACCACCAGTTGCCAGATGAACGGGTGTGAACCTGGTGACGGTGATGGTAATGGTGACGGTGGTGGTAGTGCTGCCCCAGTCATGTTACAAGGTCTGGGCCCCAATGGCGCTGCGGCCGCATCCGAAGCCTTCAGCCCTCCGCGGGATTGCGGGCGCTGGGTGGTGGCCGCGTCCACCGGGTCTGCCGACTGCTCCGCTGTGGCCGCCACCTCCTCCTCCGCCGCCGCCGCCGCCGCCACCTTCCGTTGCCGATCGACGACCCCACGCCCCTGACTGCTGGCAGGCTGCTTTCCTTTCAAGACCCCCATGCTACGCCCCAAGAGTGCACATAACAGGGGCTTCAGTCTCTCAACATCACCCTCAGTCGAAGCGCCCCCTCCAGCACCAGCACCAGCACCAGCACCAGCACCAGCGCCAATATCGCGAGCCGGCTCAGCTGAGGGCCTTCCTGGCGTTGAATGCTCGGACCCGAACGTCTTCAGTATCTTCATCCGCGCAGTCCTGAGCTTCGACGACCGGGAATCTCCCAACAGCATTTTGGGGTGGGCTGCCATCTGTGCTACGAGGGCCTCGGCGCATGCACCAACATCGCCACCGCCGTTGGTGGTGACGGCGACGGCTGTCGCGGCTGGCTGTAACGGCGCAGTGGCTATGGTAGCGGCGGAAGCACAGGAGGCTCGGGGCCCCCCCGTAGCGATTCGGTCTGCCAGCGATCGCAGCTTCTCGGCAATGTCCGCTGGTGGCCACTGGTCCACGAGGGCCTCCAGGAGGGCCGCCAAGGCGCGGTAGGATGCAGCGGAGTTTAAGAGCAAAGAACATCGTTCTGTAAAATATTTAGCCCCGTAGCCCTTCACCCGCCTGCCCGTTGCCTTCCCAAGTTGTTGGGCACCGGCAGCTGTAGCAGCACTTCCAGAGGCTGTAGCAGCCCCTGCAGCACCGTTCTGGGCGTCACTGCCCCGTTGAGGTTGGGGAACACCAAAAGTGCTACCTCCCCCATCGGCCGCATGATCAACGTTTCCGTCGTTAGCGCTGTCCGCCAGCGGCGCGCCCTTCATGCGTAACGCGAGGTGATGATTGCTTCGAAATGCGCAGGCCTCGAGCTGGTCCGCAATGGGACCGATGCGGCGGATAGACGTTCCAGGCTCCACGGCCGCCTCAGTAATCAGGTCAGCAAGGGTTCGCAGGACAAGTGTCGTTGGGAGCAACAAGCCTTGCGACCGTTCAATGGCAGTGCGGGAAACGGCGCCTGGAGTCAACCCCCCGGATGGGGACTGCAGTGCTGCAGGGAAGACCTGTCCCCCGGCACTAGTTCCCGCTACGGCGTCGTTGTTGTCACCGTCAGCGTTCGCCGTAATAGACTGTCGATTGGCAGCGGCATTTCTGCCGCGTTTCACAAGCTGGTTGGCAGCAACGTTCTTTTGCGTTGTGGCTGCGGGATTAGCGTGTGAGGGCCATGTACACAGCGGTAGGGCGGCTGAGGGTTATCAGCCGCCAAAACATAACAGTTGATGCCTTAAGCTGTATTTTACCTTGTTCGTCCTTGCGTTGCTTCTGTCTCTTACAGTCCTGCCGCACTGCAAGCTCGGACTCCACACCACGCTTTTGTCTTGGCATGCTGTGAAGCGACACATAAATGGAGCTTATATTGTTACTAGTCATTCAGTTTAAGGTAAGAAAAGTGCCTTCATGTCGAAATCGAAATGTTGATTCCCGCAAAGCTTTCCACGAATGTGTCATAGCATGTTAAAAGCTATTTTTCTGCATCACGTAAGTGGTGATAACTTCCGGATGTTGTAATGTCCACGGATTACTCCTTCCATCTATCTACAAAACGTTACCGTACAAGCGTCTCGGAGCCAGAAATGAAGAGCCCTAAAGCGCACGCGAAAGCTATGAATCGAACGGTGCTCGAGCCACGCATTACCTATCGTAGGATGCAAGGCCAACCTGGACAGTGCCTACCTATGCTTTTTCGGGGTTATCATAATGATACAGCCCTGAGGGACTCTGGTTCGCCTGCTGTCTGTCACTGATTTTGCGCGCCAGCTGCACGGCATGCATGCAACAGTTGTTCTTGCCTGGAAATCCATTTCCGCTTCTTGGCCCTCTCCCTTTCCCCATGATGTGGCTTATCCTTTAGAGACGGTTAGGCGCGCGGGTCGCGCTGCCCTCAGGACGCTCTCAGCATGTGCGAGCCTGACAATGCTGAAGGCAAGCTGGGATTTGGGAAGATATGGTGGGATGATGGGATGTTGGGAGTGCTTCTGGTTTGGGAAGGGGTTCGGTCGTTCATGCGAGTGTGTGCGTATCAAGCAATCATGGCTGGCAGGCGGCTGGCAGCGGCAGGAGCAACAGCTGCAACAGCGCAGCAAAGCTTTCGGGAAAGGCTTCTAGCGCGCAAACAGCAAATCCTGGTTAGAGCTGCCGGCCGCCTGCCAAACATGATGTTGCTCTGTGGTGGGGTGCGTGTCCGTATGCGCATGCCTGGATCATGTTCGCACAGCATTGCTTTTCTTTGGTTGTGATCCGTAACCAACCTCCCTCCCCATGTTTTCCCTTGGCGCGCTCCACTCGGCCACAATGGCTTGGTGAGGTGCGCTGCCCTCAGGGTGCTGCGGCCACTAGAGGATGTGTAGGATTGTAAGTGTACGGCATTACAGCTTCCGCCTCGTGGGCTACTGATGTACTGCACGCTGTACTATACTGTACATGTATGTCGTACTGTGTCGTACTATAGAGTTGTAGTATCGCGCTTGATATGCTATGATGACCCGGTAGTAGATACATCACACGCTGACTTGTCCACACACGCACCCTCCTTCCGCTTGTTTCTCACTGTTTGTCCGCATGAACCCGGTCCTGCAATCAACGTGAGGAGACAGCGCGGTCCTCATGCTGCTGCTGCTGCTGCTGCTGCTGCTGCTGCTACTGCCGAAGGTGAGTACCTCCTAGAGCTGCGGGTACTAGCACTTGTGTAAGACAAATCTCTTGTACATGTGTGTACGGCAAGTACCCGGGGGTGTTGCCAAAGGAAGGGTAGGGTGGTTACTCTTTTTGGTCCGGCCCCTGGGGGCTGTTTCCAGACGGGTTCGAACCCCACCGCGATTGAGGGTACCGCGGCTCGTGTAACTGGACCCCTCGAGGCAGCGCTCGTACGTTTCACTGCCCGGGCTGTGTGATCTGCCGAGGAGAGAGCTGTTGCCGTGAACGGTCCGCGGCACTCGTGACGGAAGTGCCGGGTGGAGTTGAGCCGTGTGCAAGAAGCCCTCACCCTAACCACGTGTGCAAGAGCCTGCGTCATTGAGCGAGTTGTCGAAATCCCCCTCCTTGTAGGCTAGCGAAGTTGCAGCGTTATGTATGATGTGTGAAACAGGGGGGTGTATCTTCGCCCGTGGCAGCTACCCTGCGAAACCCTGCCTTCCCCGGTATTTCGGGGCTCCCTCATCCAGTCACCCTAGTCAACTTCTCAGTGGATCGCTCAGGTTCCTCACCCACCACCAGCATCCAACAGAATCTGCCGGGTCAACAGCGGCCCAACTCCGTTCCTGGTCGGCTCGCAGGTTAACTTTATCCCAGGTCACCACCGTCCATCATCTAGGGGCGCAATGCCTTCCACCATGGGAAGGACTTTGACCCTAATGGGTATCGATCCCGGGATCTCCCGGGATCTCCCGAGGGCAATGGTCGCGCCTTACCAGTAGTGCCAAACCCTATATATGTATGCATGTGGCTCCTGTTCGACTGCCCCATGCGATGCCTTTTCGCCTTGCGTAGCCTTGTAGACGAGTTGCACGTTACATGTGTAAAATGTGCGGGGGTGTCCTCTTCCCCATGACGCGCCTCGCTCGGCCACAATGGCTGGGTGAGGCGTGTCGCCCGCAGGATGCCAGGAGCACCTCCATTATACAAGCGGACTGGGGCCGAGCTTGTCTTAGGTTTCCGGAGGTAAGTGCGCAGTTGGGGAAATTGGACGAGGGGTGGCGAGGCTGGGGAGGCGTTGCGCTCTCTTGACGCGTTCAGGGTTTTGAAGGGTTTCGGAGGCCAGCGCTTGCGCAACCATGTTTTGCTGGCGGCTGGCAGCGGCAGCGGCAGCAGTAGCAGCATTTCAGCTAAGCGCAGCAGAGTATGTTAGGAAGGGAGCTTGGTATTAAGTGTGTCTTAACTGTCCCTCCTTCCCCCTGGTGTGACTGGCACGGGCGGGCCAGGGCCCTGCCGTACATCAGCATTGGTGTACGATATCCCTCAACCAAAGACCTATGAGCCGTAGAGAAATGCGTCCGCTCTGACCCAAATTCAATTTGACCACGACCTGAGTCCCCTTCTTGGCGCCCTCCCTTTCCCCTCCCTATGGTGCGGCCCCTCACCCGGTGCGGTGGGGTGCATTGCCCTCGGGACGCGCGATAACACGTTGCTTGGCGTGAGCGTGTCGGACCATGCTTTTTGAGTCAAGTGGGTGATTGGGGATTAGAGAGGTGCGATGGTAGTTCGGAGAGTGGGCCTGGCGTGGGATTGTGAACAATGGGGAGTTGTCCCAGTGTGTTGATTTGGGGCTTGGAACAAAAGAAATGGATCGAGGCCGACTCGTACGTTTTCATTTTTTCATCCAAAAATGGCGTCTTGACGGAGTTTTCGGCTTTGTTGTTCGTGATGGTGCCCGGGTCGGGGGTGGCGGATGAGCGGTCGGTTCTGAGCCATAGGGACTTAGGGTTGCAGGACCTGGACCCCACCCGCAACCGCCTGGACCTGGGCGAGCACCTGGCGCTGTGCGTGCGCATGTTTACACAGGACTTGTTCGACCTCCGCACTTTCCCGTCCTCTGCTGCTGCATTACGGAAGTGGTTGGCCAGCAGCAGCAGCAGCAGCAGCAGCAGCAGCGGCCTGTACACGATGAACCAGTAGAGTCCAGTGCTTCTGTGCTGTGGTTTTGTCCTTGGCGGCGGCCATTTTTAGTTCTTTTATGTTTTCACGAGAAATCAAGACATGTTACAAATGGTACCTGCAAGCAAATGAAATAAGTCTTCCTTCGGTAGGTATAGGCCGGGTGGAGGCCCCAGCTACCGCGAGGCGGACCAATAGGCCTGGACACCTAACGCCTCACAGCAGCGACACCCGCATGTAGCTACGAAACCCGAAAATACTCTAGCACACCGGAGCGACCTCCTTAACTGGCATTACATGCCGTACCAACACACACAACCAACTCTTCTGAGTTCACAGAAAACCTCGGTTTTCTATCGTTACTCTCAAAAAACCTCCAGTTTAATGTCCATGGCCCATGTCTGGTATAGCAGCTAAGACCCTCACAGCTATGCGCACGCGGAGGCGTGGTTGCGCGAACGAATGACACTGAGAGCTGCACCATCTACATGTGGCTCTATCGGGGTTTGCAAGGAGATTTGTAACTTATCAGGGGGGTCTGGGGACCGGAGGCGCCCCCCGGCGCCTCACAGATAAGTAATAAATCACACAAAACCCTGGAAATCTATTACAAGATCAGTAATGAAAAGGGACCCTAAGGCTCTAAACGAAATGAATTACTGTTGGTGTTTCTGGGTTGCAATCCGTAAATGACCTCGTGCCCACAAGGCTTGGTGAGCTGTGTTGCCGGCGGCCATCAGAGGCAATAACTCACGTAAATGTACGGCGCTTTGGTGTCCACTCCTGGGCCCGTAAGCAAGCTTGCTTCTCCAGGTTTTATCCGGCATGAACCTCCGAATGACATTGCTGAGACACCGCAGTCCCCCTGCTGCCACTGCTGCTTCTACTTCTGGAGGTGGGTACCTTGGAGAGCTGAGAGCATTGCTGGTACGGTGCCGGGTGCGACGGAGAGGTGAAAAGCCGGTGCGGCGGTGGCGACTGTTATTGTCTTCTGGAATTGGTGGTGGTGGATGATGTGCTGCGGATCCTGAATAGATGGTAATATTGGCGGGGCATTAGGCACGTTGCTCACTGGGGTGGCAGCCATGTTTTCCGGCTTCTTTTTCGGGTATGCCCTGTGCCATCCTTCTGACGCGGCCCCCTTTCCATTGTGCTCCATGGCTGTTTGTATCTCCAGCGGTAGACGAGGAGAGCCCGGTTTGTCCGGCGCCCGGCGACGATGGCCTGGTTATCGACCAGGGCGCAGGTGCGCCGTTGTCGGACGGCGGACGCATGATTAGCGCCACAGCAAATGATGCCATGATGGCTCGTGCAGCCGCCGCGGCCGCTGCTCACCAGAGCAGCCACGCCGGTCTAGGTGCACAGGCGCCGGCGCGACGTGGTGCAGTGGGCCCGTCAGAAAGCATTAGCGGCGGCATTACAGGCGTGAGCACTGCAGGGGCTAATGCTATTGGTCAGTGTTTGCAGGTCTCTCCTCACATCCGGGTCTATCGCCGTCCAGTGGCATGAAGGCGCATCCAGTCTCAAATGAGGAAGGATAGTTGTCCCGCTTTTTGTTGAAGTCGATCCTGGAATATTCCAGGGATAAGATACCGCGCGTTAGCACATTATTGTAGCATGTATGCGTATGCATATGATGACATTTGCATAAGCATTGGTGTAGAAATTGTTTCGGGTTCAACGCAACAATATCTTCGTTAGACTCTATATGGAGCCGCTCCTCATTAAATGAAAGCAACAGAAGTTCATCGTTAGCAGAAAGGCTAAGGCATTAGCAAGCAGGTTATCTGGCAGGCTGGTGACCGTAGAGAACGGCCGAACCCAATATGCCGGGAGCTGCCAAAACGTAAGCGCCGAGTCCGTCCCTTGCGCCTAGCTAGGTATGCCACGGATGCGCTTGAGGGCTCTAACTGGCAGTGATCATCACATCTTGCCGCGTGCCCGCTGTTGCGACAATGATCCAACCATCTTAGAAAGTTAGGACCTATATTTGGGGGCCCGTGCTCACACACGTGCCTGCGTACCTACCTCTCTGCACATATAACTACCAGCTTTTCCCCGCCAAGCCAAGCCAGCTACATAACGACTTGGTACGATGCCAGGCTTGCCTGCTAGCTGGCTGTGGCCAGGTGCTTGGATAGGCGAAGTTCCAGCGCCTTATGTAGATCCCATACCTCGATCCGCCACCAACATTACCAGCATTCCACCAACATCACCTCAACAGCAACAGCAGCAGCGGCCAGCCGAGTTCTTTTCTCGGTAGTGTAGCAAATGGAGAAATGAGCGGGTTTGCACCCCCCAGCCCCACCCTATCTCTTCACCTCACCTTCGGGGTGCATATGCATGCATGGGTGCGGAAGCTGACATCGCTTGCATCGCAACCAACCAATAGCTAGTCCGTACCAAGGAATCCGAATGCATGATGTGTAAGATTGCAACGTACTGTAGTGCGAGAGTGTGCATCAATATCTGTGCAGACGTGGTATATGTGCGTGTTTCCAGCAAAAGCGGCGTCACCTTATCATATAGAATGTTTGTGCGTACGTATGTGCGTACGTATGTGTGTGCGTATATGTGTGTGTATGTGTGTGTGTGTTTGTGTGTTTGTGCACAGGTTGTGATCCTACCGGCGCCCTCTACAGCCTGCTACTACTACACCGCCAAGTGCACCGAACGAACACAGAGACCCTTCAGACATATGTCTATGCTGAAACACATACATGCACCTTAGTCGCGCTCAGACATATGGCCTGGCCATATGCAGGCATGGTTGCACGCTTACATGCGACGTATACAGGCATGCATACAGGCGTATGCTATTGTGACGAATGACAGACGCACCTGCATGCGCATTGCGAGCAGGTGCAAGCGTGTGTCTTCGCAAAACTTGAGCCATGCGCACACGTGCACATGCGTGTGCATTTATGTATGTAAGCAAGCGCACACGCCGTGCACTCACCCACGTATTCACGCCTCACCAGGGAGAGCAGCTGTAGCCGCAACAGCCGCAGAAGCTATCAGCGGCAGTGGATGAATGCAAGAAAACAGGCATACGAGTCACTGCACATTCCCCCAGATGCCCACCATCGCAGCCAAGGCGGGATGTGGCGGGATGATTATGGGGAGTGCCTTGGGGGGGGTTGCCTATGGGGGTGCCTCGCCTCCCCCTACCCCACGCGCTCCCACCCTGGCTCGAGGCTAACTCACTCCGACCCCCGTGACGACGAAGTTCAATAACATCTCCTCCAACAACATATCTCCTGCATCTACAGCCACGGAAACCCACGGAAATGCGACCTCCGTAATCATGCATAAGATCCTGGACCTAAATTCGATTGCTGCCGGGGCCCCATCATCCCACAGAAATCAGCATCCACGTCGGAGGCCTTTGGAACTGCAGGTGGAGCTTCGCTTCGCCCAAGAAAAATCAAGCCAGCCGAAAACGAGGGTAGACACACGTCCAAGCATGAACAGTTTATTGCGCGTCGATGTCCAAAGGCGGACGGCATTGATCTGATGATTTAGACCTGCTCCGAAATCGTGGACCCTTTACCCACCCACCCAACCGGAACTGACCCCGGCTCATGGCAACGCCTGTGGCGATGCAGTATGCAATATGCCAAGAGGACGCCCCCAGGCTTCTCTCCTATATATCATGCCCGGTGCCACCCCGGCCATTTCCCGCTCCACATTGCTCCGCACTCTGAGTTTTAGCTGGGGCCTTCAGCAATCGTGCAGTGAACAAACAAAAGACAAACGAACAAATTACAAGGTAAACAACAAACAAACAAACCGGCAAACTGTCAAGCAAGCGAAGGACGTATATGCAAGGTATGCGCATATTTCATGCTTTCCTTTCAGCACATGTCTTAATATGTTCCTTACTTCCGATGCTCCGTGATAGCTATGGAGGACCATCCCCAACCTGAACAGCAATGAATATGATAATGATGATGGGGATGGGGATGATGGGAATGTTTCGGCGAACACACTTGTTGCAGTGCTGCTCGCGGACCGAATTCATTTCCGCCTCCTGGCTTTTGCAATCGTGACTGGGATCATGCACCCTAGAAACGTACCCTAGAAACCAGCCCCACGTTTCCCCACACGCGGGTATGGGCTGTTCGCCAGGGACTAAGATTAGGTTCTTTGGTAGCCTTCCGTGTGCCCTGGCCGCTTACCACCTTCGCCAGTGCAGCGCCGCCGGCTGTTTCAGGGCATGCTCCGGCAGTACCCTCCCTCTCCCATCTACCTCACAAATGTAGCATTATCTACAACCACTACCACCACTACTACCACCACTACTACTACCACTTACATCACTACCACTACTACCACTGTTACTACTAATGATGATAACAACACTGGCAGCTGCTGTCGGCTACTTACTTCAGTGAAGTTGCCGCCGGTGTGCCACCCTCGCCACGCCCTACTTAAGGCTCAGTCCTTTACTACATAGCATGAATACCTAGCCCACACCCCGCCAACAGACACGCACACACCGCGATGCTTTTCCACTCACGCGCGATAGCTCGCTTGCGTAAGCTTACGCGGCGTCCTCTTCTGAGTTATCAAGCCTCACCGCTCTCTGCGACCCTTTAAGCCCAGATAGAGGGCTTACTCGCCTGTGCGCTGGGTAGCGCTGGAGGTTTATCTGGAGGTTATCTCCTCCCCACCCGCTGGTTGGATCGGGTGCAATCGCCCCGGTGCGAGGGGGGAAGGGGGAGAGGGCCTGGGGGGAAAGACGAACCACACACGATTGAAGCTGCTGCCAGAGCAAGAGAGTAGCAAAGGGCCTGGGGGGAGGGAGCTGCACGCAAGGCAATGTAGGCTGCTCTCCCATATCCTTGCACCACACATGCCCGTGCCCGTGCCAGTCAGAATAATCCGCAATGCCCACTGCTCGCTCCTGGTGTTTCAGCTGCAAAAGCCCGAGAGTCAAATCCGTCGTCCTCATCACCATCCTCCTCCGCCGCCGTCCTCTTCTCCGTCCCGTCATCACCAACATCAGCCGCCAAAGGCAGCCGCAGCCGCAACCGCAACCGCAACATGTACTAACGACGACATGTCCCCAATTCCACGCATATAAATATGGGATACATGTATATAGATAGATAGGTATAATGATAGATAGATAGATGAATACCATGGGATGTGGGAACGGGACTTTCGACTGCTGTTTGCTCCATGGAGCTCCAACACCCAAAAACAACAATATATAAGCTGTTTATGCTCCGCGAAAACGTGGTCGCATAAATCGGTAAAATATGTACCGGATTACTGATACCCGAAATGAATGCTCCCAACCCGCCAAGCATCCCTGAACGCACTACACCACCATGGTGCTGGAGGGGTCCTCTGCAGCGATGTCCGTGACACGGAGGATGTCCGCCCCCGGAGGGACCCGCAGTGACGCAGTGACGGAAATTGATGAAGAAAGCAACAGGCGGAGGATAAATAGATCGAGGGAGGCGGCGCGGGAGGCGGGGCGAGGTCCGCTACAAATACACGGCAAGTACCCGCTGCTTGTTGTGCAGTTCATCCTCCTCCTGCTCCTCCACCCACAGGTACGTGTCCATCGGCCCACTGCCGTCAACCTGCGGAGAGAAACCCGGGGCGTAAGGGGGTGAGGTGTGTGGCTTGGGACGCAACGGGGGGAAACGGGGGTGCTGAGGATTGTTAGTCTCTTAGGGGTGGTGGTGAACTGTATGTTTGCATGTAAAGAGGGCGCGTGAAGAGGGGGGAGGGTGTTGTGGTTCTGGAGCCCACATGGTTGACACCTATTGCCAGCTGCAAGAGAAATCCAACTGCGAAATGCGTGTTTGCGCATCTCCCTTCGCCAGGCCCTGCCAGCTCCTTTTGCTGCTTCTTGCATCATAAAATCATTCCCCCCTTCCCTTTGCCCCCTTTCTTACGGCTCCCTCCTTGCCTGCACGCCCTCCGTCGCCTCCCAGGCCTCGCTCTTCAGAAGCCCCCGGGTGGCTCCGCTGACGTGTATCCTGCCCGGCACCCCGCTGGCCTCCATCTTGTGAGCCGCCTCCACAGTCTCCCCGAACACAGTGAAGCGGGGCATCTTGGAGCCCACCACGCCGCTCATGGCGGGGCCGCTGTGCAGGCCCAGACGCAGCTGCACGGGCGCCCCGGTGGTGGGAAGAACCACCTCACGACTGACGCGGAGCATGGCCTTGGCGAACTCCATCACCCGCACCGCGTGAAGCTCGTCCACCTCACCTTCGGGGAGTACGGAGCAGTAGCCGTCGGAGTCGTACCTGGGGGAATCGGGAAGGCGCGGGTTTACGGTGTGTGTAGGGGCGGGGTTGGAGGAGCAAGGGAGGAGGGGGTCAGAGGGCTACATGGAGAGCGGGATGCGGACGGAACAAACATGCAACGGAGAGAGAGGTGAGGAGAGGACAGGAGAGGAGAGGGCGAGAGGCCAATGTTGGCAATGCGACGCGATGGACAGAGAGAGAAAGTTACCCGGAAAAGAACTCCCGTCGAGTTGAACTCGGCGGGGGTTTCGGATGTTCAAGTCAAGAGAGGTTGATAACGGGCAGCGGCCAGCTGTTTGTTCGGCACCACCATTACCACCACAATCACGGCGCTCTCCCGATGGCTCCCCGCGGCCCACCTCGTTCCTCCACCTCGTTCCCCCTCCCGCCCCTCCCGCACGCACCTCACGAGGCCCCCCGCCACCACGTAGCAGTCGCCGATGGTCTCCACCTTGTACACCTGGAAGGAGGTTGGGAGGACGGAGGTTGGGAAACAACGTTGGTGGTGGGAAGTATAAGCGGGAGGGGGGGATGAGCAAGGGAAGGGCAGCTGCCGGGTGCGGGTGATGGCGCTGCGGCGGCCTGAAAAGGTGTGGAAAAACTGGTTGGTAGGTCGGTAGGTATCGCAGCTCGGACTGTCTGTCTGTCTGTACTGTCTGTCTGTCGGTAAGTAGGAAGGTAGGCGCGGCGGCTACCTTTACCAAGCCCCCCCCCCCCGGAAGGACAGCCGCCACAGCCCGCCCACTCCGGGGGCCTGCAGGCCCTCACCCGCCGCCATACGTGTATCCCTCCCCCCGGCTAGGAGACCATTCATTCAGGTGACATCCAACCATGGAAACGTTAAGAGATACGTAATGAGGATGGTAGTGGGGATGGTAGGAAACGGAAGGCCTCTGTTAATGCAATCTGGTGATGATGGTGGTGGTGGGGCCATATGACTTAGGACGTATTTAGGGTGTATATGAGACGTATCCAGCTCTGCGTTATGTAGTTCCAGCGGACAAATAATAATAATAATAATAATAATAATAATAATAATAATAATAATAATAATAATAATAATAATAATAATAATAATAATAATAATAATAATAATAATAATAATAATAATAATAATAATAATAATAATAATAATAATAATAATAATAATAATAATAATAATAATAATAATAATAATAATAATAATAATAAGTGGTTTTTGGTGCGACAATTATCGACATGCAAAATGCGATGGCACATAGTACGATGCGGTACCCCACGCCCTTTCATGTGCGACATAGGCCCACCAAGCAATGCGTCATTCCTCCCCCCACTCTCGTATCCCTTGCCGATGGGACAGGACACTCTCCGCACCTTGTAGATGTCCAGAAGCGCGTCAAGCCGCTGATAGAGTTCGTTAAGAAAGTGCATGACGGTCAGAGGGGAGACCTGGTGTGGGTGGGAGAGAGGAAGGGGGGAGGAAAGGAGGGTGGGAGAAAGGAAGGCGGGAGGGAAAGGAGGGTGGGAGAGAGGAAGGGGGGAGGGAAAGGAGGGTGGGAGAGAGGAAGGGGGGAGGAAAGGAGGGGGCAAAGACTGTGAAACAGCGAGTGGAGAAGGGAGGGAGCGTATCAACTAATCAGATCAGCATCGCAAAATTATGGAGGTTCAGGGTCCAGATGCGCCGGTCAGAGAAAAAGCTCTTCAACACAATTTATGTAGCCACCTTGCCGCATCACCACCTACATACCCATTCATATGTACACGGGTACATGTCAATGTACACAATGTACACCGGGTACCAGTGGGAAACTCATCAAGAGTAGAGTAAGGAGCAAACGGCGCAGAAGGTGGCTAAGAAATGTCGTCCCAGCGCATTGTGGACAGGCTTCCTCCCTAGAGTATCGATAGTTTGACGGCTTCGGGCCCGGAACCGCAGCCGACGGGTGCACAACGCAGCGCATGGTAGGCACCTCCCATGGTGCGGTAGCATGCACAGTAAGCCACAGTAAGCGCAGCACACACCTATCAAACTGGCCACGAATGATATACATAGTGAGGCGGACCTTACAACACCTACAGCACCTAGCACAGCGTTGCACTGTTCAGCAGGTCCTAATCGAAGTGCTACTATACAATTACAGATAGCGCCCACATAGGAGTGGAGAGCGCGCGGCAGCTCCTCTTTGTGCGTGTGTGTATATCAGTATGAGGGGTTTGAGGATGTTGACGCCTTCCTCTGTGACAGGGCCCCTTCCCCCGGTGCCGGCCCACCCCATCCCACCATCTTGCACATGGCCGTGAAGCCCACACAGTCGGAGAACAAAATAGTCACCATCTGGTGCTGCGGGGGGGCGAGCGGGCGGGCGGGGGGCCGGGCGGGCAGGAACCGGAGCTAAATCAGAGAGATTGCTAATCAACAACCTCCATATGGCTGGTTCAGTGCCCTTCCCTCCCTCAATCCTACGTCCTTACCGCCCCTGCCTTCTCTTCCTTCCCTCCCTTCTCCACTCCCCATTTCCCCCCCTACACCCGCCCACCCAGCCCCACCTGCGTAGCCAGGCGGGACACCTTGATGGCATCCAGCTGCTGCTGCATCACCAGCTGCCGCCAGCCGGAGCCACGGCCGAGCGAGCTGGTACCAGAGCCAGAGCCCGCACCACCACCTCCACTCCAATCACCTCCACCCCCATCCCCGCCAGGTGGGCCAGGACTAGGTCTAGGCGAGGAGCTGCGCTCGCCAGCACTACCGTCAGCCTCAGCTTCAGCCTCAACCTCAGCTTTAGCCTCAGCCTCGCCGCCTTCGGAGGGCGCGCGAACAGGAGTTGCAGGGCTGGGTGACGGTACTGTGCGTGCGTTGGGCCCGGCGTACGAGGCACCCCGGAAGGATCGGGGCGTAATGGATCTGGATCTGGATTTGGAAAGGCCGCCGGATTTCGCCCTCACCCCTGCCGCCATCTCCACGGGAACTACCGTCATGAACTCAATTACGTGGCGAGGGAAGAGCGCCTGCCGCCGGGGTTGGGCGGGGACGGACGAATGAACAGGCAGGTGGCAGGCGGGCGGGTGTCGCTGTCCATTTGTGATAATCAAGCTAATTGAGGGCAGGGCCGGGCAGGGGCCGGGAAGCATCCTAGGTCCCCATCGTTGGTCGTCTCATTGGTTTCTTAGGCGCAACGTCTCCCCCCTGCCCCAGCCACCAGATCTCCGACCCAAAGAACGCGAACCCCTCCGAGGATCCCACCCCACTTCACCACCATGTGGGTCGACCCATCCGCTACCCCATTCACTACCCCGCACCCCCCCCGGAGCCATTGACGACCCTTTCCCCACCTCCAGGATCCTGTGTTCGTGGGCCAGCAGCGCGGTCACCTTCTCCTGAGCCTGCGCGGGGAGGGCAACGATGCGGGTTTGTGTGGAGGTGAGTGTGGAGGCGTTGTAGGACACAGAGTGGCGGATGGACGAATGGGGGGTATGTGAGAAAAGGAAGGAGTTCAGACCGGCACGCTGCAGAGGCATGTAAGCTGGCGAGCGAGCGACCGCCACGCACATGCACATACACGTGCACAGCTCAGTTCATCACGACAAACGAAAGGCCTGTTGGCCGCATCTAAGGACGCTGCATGGGCGCGTGCATGAGAGCCATGCAGAACAGCAAATCGCCTGTGCCTTACCTGGCATGCTTGAGTGCATGAGATCAGCACATTCGAACGGGACCCAAAAGTGGATGGACGGACAGGGCAGGTGCTTGGCAAGGTGGCAAGGTAGAGACGTACAGCCACACAAAAAGGTCGCGGCCAAGAGACAACCCTCCGGCGGGTGTACCTTTTGGCGACCCTGCCAAAGTAGTCGGCGTCGGGGCTTCACTACGTCTAGTTACATGCAAGGTCATCTGCTCGTCTCACACACAGACACCAGCAGTAACGCCAGTGGTGGCGACTGTGGCTGGCGGCGGCGGCTCGCTCACCGTAACATGCGCCGTCACGTCCTGCATCATCAACAGCACCGTCATGCCGCCACTGCTTCCCTGCCCGCTGCCGACGCCGACGCCGACGCCGCCGGCTCCTTCTTCCCCGGGGCCATCTCTACCGGCTGTCGGACTTGAGCCAGTGAAGCAGCGGAGGTGCACCCGGAACCAGCAACAGCCCGCGGACAAGAGCGGGGCGCCACCGCCAGTTGCGGATGCTAATGGACTGAAGTGCCCCATCTCCACCGGGGAGCCGCCGGCGTAGCCAATCCCGCCGCCCAGGTGCTCACGACTGGCATCGCCGCTTTGCGCCGCCGCCGGGTCCGCGCCGGGACCGCTGACCTGCCATCGCCCCGACGTAGTCGCCGCACGGCCACCGCCTGTTGACACAGAGGACGGCACAGGCGACAAAGCCCCTTCCGGCAAGGCTGCCACAGGCCCAGAAGCCAGCGGCAGCGGCAGCGGCAGCGGCAACACCGGTAATACGCAAGTGCTGCCTCCGCCGGCTCCGCCGGTGTCCATGGCGGAGCTGGTGGTGACGCCGGGCGGTCCAGCAGTCCAGCCGATTCCACTGCCTGACTGTCCGAGGGCCTGGGCAGGCGGCGACGCCGCCGCACCCAGCTGCATCTGTGTCTGGAGCTGTAGACGCTGTAGCTGCATCGCCCAACCGGGGCTGGCAGCCGCCCCACCGGCAGCTTGTGCGGCCCCACTCGCACTCACACCGGCAGTGAGGGAGCTACGCCGCAAGCCGGATACGGACAGGTTGTCAGGTGGCGAATCCGGCGGCGCCAAGGCCAGTCCCAAGCCCACGCCTCGAAGCGGTGATACACCTCCCAGGGTGCCGATTTGTCCGCCGCTTGCATTTCTTCCCATGCCCATCTGGTGCTGCTGCTGCTGCTGCTGCTGCTGCTGTTGGAGGTGATAGTGGTGATTCTGGGGATGGAAATGCCCCTGGTGGTTCTGGGGGCCGCTTCCAGCGCTGATGAGCCGTAAATGCAGGGCGAGAGATTGGGCGGTATTGTTCTGGGAGCAGCCGTCGGAAGTGGTGGTGGTGTGCAGGTGACTGTTGCTGAGGTTGAGGTGGTGGAAGAATGGGGGAGGGGGTTGGTGCGGGTCGCGTGGGAGGGGGTGCAGGGAGGAGTGGTGGGATGGGCCCAGGGAGGAGGCGCGCGTCTGCAGCAGCAGCAGCCGCGAAGGGCCACTCTGGACGGAGGAGGAGGAGGCGCCGCTGCAGAAGGAACCCCGAGCGGAGGGCGGGTTGAGCAGGGCTGGGGAGCCCACGACGCCGTGGGGCATCATCTCCAGGCCCATCATGTGCTTCAAGTTGGGGCTGCGGAATGGGCGGCCGCAGACGGGAGGAAGCAGGAGAGCAGGGAAACGAGGGATGAGGAAAAACGACAAGTGCACACAGCCTCGGCGGAAAGGGGAGGGACGTGCGCGGATGCGTCGAGAACCCAAAAACGTGGATGTAACTCCACTGTTTCCATCTTTTTATCTTCACGTCGGAATGGGTCAGT